TAGTGGATTTGAACTGCTGACCTGTGGTTAGCAGTCTAGTGCTTACCACACCAGGTGCTGAATTGTGGTAGTGGTGGTGGTGATGTGCCCAGAAGTTGGTTCCGACTTATAGAGACCCTGTATAGGATTTCTGAGGAGGAGCTGGTGGGTTTGAACTGTCGACCTTGTGGTTTGCAGTCCATTGCTGGTCCTGCGCCACACTAGGAGTCTTTCCTGTTAGGGTTGGTAAGTGCTGTTAAACCGTTTATTTGATAAAAAAATGAGAAAAACAAATTCGTACTTGGATAGTTTAATCTAGGTCCTGTGGAACATAGGAAGTAAATGCACAGATCAGTGTAATACTGATGATTAAGTAGTATTAAGTAGTGTAATGATTAAGCTTTAGTATTAAACAGTCTGTCCTGAGGCTATGTCTTTAATATTTTGTGTTTGTGGTAGCATGAGTAGACATGAGTTAATGTGAGCGTGCATACTTACAGTTTCTCTTTATTGGTCTTAATTATGTGTCTCACCAGACAAATTAAGTATCAGATCTGGTCATTTTGCTATCTTCTTCACAATATGTTTGATTTGTATCAAGCAATTTTTTAATAATTGCAGACATTTCTGTCACTGGTTGGTTTCTCCTTATCTCTATGAGAGGCTAGGCTTTAACAAAATGAAATAGCATTTTGTCTTAATTCATCTCGTTTTCTCACTTTTCTTTCAGATAATTTATAGTTTAATTTTGTTAGCTTCAAATATTTTTTGAACCCTCCAACGTATTTGTAGTGCGGGAGTCCCGGTGTGGTGCTGTGGGTAAATGCGTCAGACTGCAAAGCCATTTGAACTGCAGGGTCGGTGGCTCAAGCTCACCAGCTGCTCCTCAGAAACCCCATACAGGGTTGCCGTGGGTCGCAACTGACTCAATGGCACTTCACAACAACAGGATTGCAGTCCTGGTGTGGCACTATAGGATAAGCACTAGGCTGTTGACCACAAGGTCAGCAGTTCAAACCTACCAGCTGTGCCTCAGGAACCCTATACAAGGTTAGGGTTCCTTGAAAAGAAAATTGAGAAAATTGCCTACCATGTTGTTTGTTGGGTATTGCGGTCTTTCCAGTCTGTTTTCTTGTCTCTACTTGTCACCGTCTGAAATTGTTTTACGTGGTGCCCAGGGTTTATAGTTACACTCGGAGCAAGCGGTCTAGGGAAAAAAGTATACTAACGTCATCTTGTCAGAAGTGATAAATGTTGTGTTTTTTAAAACTTGCTGGATTTGGGGATAAAATTATTTGAACACTTTTCGGTGACTTTTCGAGCTAATACCCTACCAGACCCAGTATGGTGTAGTCCTGATGTAGAGGTAGAATCCTGGTAAAGATGTCTAGTCCAATATCCTACCCTGAATGAAAAGGTCAACACCCGATTTATTAGCAAAGGGTTCAGAGTTCTTGGGTGAAGCCTCAATAATAAGCAAAAATGCTTTGGGGTGAATTTTCCTCTTCTCTGAGTAAACAACACAAGTACCAATGAAAGCCTTACACATATGTTCCATTGAAATGATGGCTAGGAAGCATTGCAAATAATAAGAAATACAGGAAGACAAGGACAATTGCTTTAATCCTACATTTGTAACACAGTTACTAACAGGAGCATTTTGAATCTTTCCTTCTGTTGTTTTTTTTTTTTACACAAATACCACACTGATTTTATTTAGTTTAATTTTTTGTTATGGAGACTAGCTAGCAGAGCTCACAGCAGTCCCAGTGTACCCAGAGCTGAGTCCCTCCCCCG